ATAAAATAACTAATATGGTTTTGTGTTCAACTCTCCATCAGGTGTGGAGTAAATGTCTAAATTAATCAAAATTTCAGGAGACATTTGTGGGTCTTTTACATACCTCTAAAATGTAAACATAGCCTTAAGACACCACAACCAAATAGATTTTATTAGACAAAACTAGTTAAGCCTTTGACACAAGACAATATGCTGATTACTGTTGTACATATTTCATTGTCTGTGTTTGATTCAAAGAACATTTTAATTGGAAGGCCCAGAGAGGCGAAGGTAACTGACATGTCCTGTCACAGTTTACTATACAGATGAAGAAGTGCTGGGATTACCAAGACAAACTATTATCCTGAAAATGATTACTATTCAGATGAAGAGGTGCTGGGATTACACGTCAAACTATTATCCTGAAAATAGATACTATACAGATGAAGAAGTGCTGAGATTACCAAGTCAAACTATTAACACAGCCCAGAATGAGGGTAAAGTAACAGCAAGAGGCAGGAATTTGTGTCATTTCAAGGTGGTCACAGAATGAGTTTACCCTACACTCATGAACTTGCATGTGTCATTAAACCTACAAACCTCAAGCTTTGTAATGAATTGGCAAAGACAATATTCAAGGAGAGTTCATTCTAAAATCACAGCTATCAAGCACACAGATCAGTCACAGTCTTCAGATTCCAGTCCCAGACGAAATTAAACATCATATTGTGTCATAAACTAGTGATAATTACTGTATGGGGTTGATTGCGTCTAGATATTACTACTTCACATGAACACATTACCATATAATATTAATGAACAACTACCAGGGTTCTTACCAACCCACTTGGGCAGTGGTTAATTTAAAAACGGAAAAAACTGAAAACAATTGAAATTGGGGGAATGTGGGGTGATGCAACCCCTGTTTGACTATATTCTCTCACTTTTAAATGTGCTCAACATAAGAGAAAAAAAAGTGAGGGAATGTGGTGACATTCTGTCATCAAAATAATATGGTGACCAGGGATCATGTGACCAAGCTCTTACAGTGGGATAAGCTTTACCCTTTTAAAATGTTAATTGGTAATTCAATACCTTTACTAGTCAGGAAAGAGATAACCACTTCCCCCTATCTCCATTCCTCTCTGTTCCTTCTTGGCTGTGCTACTGAGCAGTCCTTTAAGCAGACATGGGCTAATTTCTATCATGGTGAACTGTGAGTGGGATTTTATAAGATGTAGTTGTTATTGTTAGTTAGGTTGTTGTTGTTGGTGGTATAGTTAGTTAGATTGTGTCATTATTTGTATGTTGTTGTTGTTTTGTCTCTGAATAAATATTTGTTAAAGTAGACGGACCAGAGTTTATATGTGTATGCGTACATAATAATTTATAGAGTTTGGTAATACACCACACATACCTGTACCCATAAAAGAAAGATTCCAGGGATATTATTCCCCCCTGTTCTTGGTCAAGAAGCCAGAGGGAAAATGGAGGCCTATTTTAGATCTCCACCAGCTCAACCTTTATCTGAGAGTCAGAAAATTTCGGATGGAATCCATTCGCTCCATCATTCCGGTTGTTCATCACCAAGATTGGATGATATCAGTAGACCTCAGGGATGCATCTTTTCATGTCCCTATCACGTTCACCCATCAAAGGTTTCTCAGGTTTTGTGTCCAGAAGGAACACTTTCAATTTCAGGCCCTTCCTTTTGGTATAAGTACGGCCCCGAGGACCTTCTCGAAGGTTCTGGTCACCATCATTGCTTTGCTCAGAAAAGAAGGTGTAGCGGTGTTTCACTACCTGGACGACATCCTGGTAGTGGCTCCGGACCTAGCATCAATATTCCAACACAGGCAATTAGTCCTAGACACTCTATCTCATTTCGGTTGGCTCATCAATTACGAGAAGAGTCACTTGAATCCTTCAAGAGAACTGATATTCCTGGGAGCAAATTTCAATACAGACACAGCGATTGTATCCCTCTCACACGACAGAAAGATCAGACTTCGAGATCGGATAAGGGACTTCAGACTAAAGACTTCAGCCTCGGCAAGAGAGTTTATGAGGCTTCTGGGGACTCTTTCCTCTACGATAGAACTTGTCAGATGGGCTCAGTGGAACCTTCGCCCTCTTCAACAATTTTTCCTAAAAAATTTCAGGACCGACTCGAGGGAGTGGGAGACGCTGATTCGCATTCCTTTGATTCTGAAGCAGAAGCTCCTTTGGTGGATGTCGTGGGAAAATCTCTCCAGAGGGTTCCCCTTGCGGGAAATAGATTGGGTGGTCATTACGACAGATGCCAGTCTGACAGGTTGGGGGGCACATTTAGGCAATCAATTTTTTCAAGCAAATTGGCCTCCAAGAACTCAATGCTTGCCTTCCAACATCAGGGAGCTAAGAGCAACCTTTCTGGCGCTTCTTCATTTTCAGCATCTCATCAGGCATTGCTGGGTCAAGTTGAGAGTGGACAACAAAGCGGCTGCTGCCTACATAAACCATCAAGGCGGAACAAGGAGTGTAGCCCTGATGAGAGAGATAGTTCCCATTATGACCTGGGCTCAGAATCATGTGGAAGGCCTGTGTGCCATCTATCTCCCAGGGAAGGAGAATGTAATAGCGGATTTCCTCAGCAGACATCGGACAGAGGCTTCAGAATGGCAACTTTCCAGGAGGATCTTCGCTCGGTTGGTCCAGAAGTGGGGTCTTCCCCAAGTAGACCTCATGGCGACCTTTCAGAATGCGCAGGTTCCATGCTTTGTGTCGAAGAGATACCATCCAAAGGCGGTTGCTCAGGATGCTCTATCCATCAATTGGGTATTCGATCTGGCTTACGTTTTTCCTCCAATTCCCCTCATCCACGCTGTTCTGAGAAAGATCTCCAAGGAACATTGCAAGGTGATAGCTGTAATTCCATTCTGGCCTCGTCGCCCTTAGTTTCCCCAGTTACAGAGGTTATCAGTGGACCTGCCTTGGGAACTTCCAGTCTCAGAAGACTCACAAATTCAGGCTCCATGCATGGCTATTGAGAGGAAGTCTCTAGTTGAACATGGCCTTTCGGACCAGGTTATCTCTACCCTGTTACGTTCCAGGAATCCTTCTACTTCTTCTACGTACCATAAGGTATGGGAAACCTTTGCTCGATGGTGTAATTCCACGGTTCAAGAATTAGGTTCCCCTTCCGTGTCTCAGGTTTTGGGTTTCCTGCAAGCAGGCCTGGAGAGGGGCCTTCAACTTAACACGCTTAAAGTGCACTGCTCTGCTCTTTCAGCTCTTTCCGGTATTCGTTGGGCATTGAATCCTATTGTAATTCGCTTCTTCAAAGCAGTCATTAGGATCAGACCTCCTATCAAGGTTTTCTCTGCTCCTTGGAATTTGCCTCTGGTTCTGCAGGCCTTGACGGAACATCCCTTCGAACCTATTGATGAGGTCTCTATGCAGGTTCTTTCTCTCAAGACCCTGTTGTTACTGGCCTTGGTATCTGCTAGGAGAATGTCAGATATTAGAGCACTGTCGTCTGAAGAACCGTTCACTACCTTCTTCGATGATAGGGTTGTGCTACGGCCTAGACCTGAGTTCCTTCCTAAGGTGGTTACATCCTTTCATCTGAATCAAGAGATTGTCCTGCCAGGGTATTTTCAGGAGCCATCGTCTCCTGAGGAAGAAAGATGTCATACGCTAGACCTAAGGAGGTGTCTTTCCACATATATTTCACGCTCAGCTGATTGGAGGAAGTCTACCCAATTGTTTGTGATACCTTGGGGTTCTCGTAAAGGTGAAGCTGCCTCTGTCGCAACCCTTCGTTCTTGGACGGTTCAGGCTATTTCTAAAGCTTACAGAGCTAAACAGGTTCCAGTTCCCAAGGACATCAAGGCACATTCCACAAGGTCCATTGCTACTTCATGGGCTGCAGAGTCAGGAGTTCCTGCAGAGAGCATCTGTAAAACTAGCGCACATGAAACACTGCCTCGATTTCCGGTTTGGTCGGCAATTGATATCCCGGACACAAATAGAAGGCATAAGGCTACAAGAAAAGGGTGCTAGATCTTCCTCAATGATCCACAAGAGCTAAACAATAGAGCCAAGTGCATACTTTTGGCTCCAGCTTTGTGAGTGTTTCCTATTACCTCCTTTTTCACAGCATTGCTGCAATTTATTTGCACTTATGTTTCATTTTTCCAGAAAAACATAAATCCCAGTGCATAATACTTACTTCAAAATGTATCATCATTCCAGTGTATCACACATATCCGTATGTATGTTTTATATTGTTTAGAACTGTAGATGCAAGCAAAAGTCTAGGATAATAGAAGACCAGAATAATGAATCGACACAAGCCAGGGTCAAGCGTTACAAAAAGAAACAAGGTCAGACACAAGTCAGAGTCAATAATCATGAATCAATACAAGTAATAAATGAACTCTCTGATTCCCCACAATGGTATGCCAGGAATGAGAGGAGAGCTTAAATAACCCTAAAATAACTTTGACTGGATTGAATGTTGCGCAAAAGGTGTGACTGAGCAAACATCAGAAATTATGCAGTGTGTTCTAGTATCAGAAAAGAACGTGAGTTTGTATCCCCCAGCATCAAAAGGGATGCCAGAAAGAGATGGTGGTAAACATGGATGAAAAAACTATATTACAGCGAAGGATCTGAGTGGAATCCGAGGCAAAGGCAGATTTTCGAGTTGCAATGCCTTAAATGCTTTGGGAGACCATTTCTGATAATATGTATTATTTTTGCTTCTGATGAGATTATACACTCCATGTAAGTCCATGTAAGTCTGTTTGCAAAAAAGTGTGGCCCTGTGCCAAGTGTCACTACGGATGAGCCTCCACTAATAACAAACTCTATGGGGTTGTCTATAACCATTTCAATTTGCATACCTATGTTTCTGCTGTCACTCCCTTGTTATCACTTAAATGGGTGTATTTTCATGCAACAATAACCTACACCACATTAAGAACTTAACTTGGCAGTTATGAGTCACCCAGGACTTACCTGGCAAACTAGGGGATGCCTAACTCAACTCACAGTTTCCTCAATGGCAGCTATCCATAGTGGCACAGTTATAACATGTTAATGCTTTGTTCTTGTTTTTAGTTATTGGTTTTACTTATACATGATTTATTGGCTTTCTATCTACTCTGGTAGTAGTAGTCAACCTTTCATACACTGCCCTTGACATTTACACAGGCCCCCACAGATAGCTCTATACCGCTGGCTGACACTCACTGGGAGAGAGGAATTTCCCTCCAGAGGAGTAACATCCTCTATTAGGTTCAATCATTAGAAGCCACTCGACCCTTCAGAGGGAGAGTATATTATGATCCTGGTATACAGTTCCTTATGCTACAACTTAAATATATAAAAAGGTTCCACATGCTTAATGCTTATTGTTGATTACAAGTGGGACCCAGTGTATGCATGTATGACGATTATGATAACTGTCTCTGTATTTTACTCTGTGGAGTGAAAACAAAAGAATGAAAAAAAAAGAACTTAACTTGGGAAAATTCATGTGCTTTTTGCCTCTTGTCAATAGATTGGCCAGTATTTATCTAGTTCCATGGCTGCTTTTCAGATGTGTGTAGAAGTTTTTGCTTCTAAATGCACTTGTAATTCACTTTGGATTTTTTATTTTTTTTGAATTCTTTATTTTTGTTGTGCAGGAGGGTACAAGAGATCAACAGACGCCACAACAGCGTATTGCATTATGTAGTTGCATGAGAATTTGCACATTTTTATAATTTTAGCCAGCTTAAATAGACGATTATACTTGCAGCGTAAAAATAATTAAAACAAGTGAGAACGATTAATGCTTAACAATTTTGTATTAACTACGTTAGTGTCAGTATGGTGTGCAATCATGTTTTCTTGTTTCAGTGCTATGGTATGTGTTGACCAGGTATGACACAGGCTGCTATGTAGTATCCTGTTCGACTGTCCCATGGCATGGGTGTCTGCATGTTGTGTAAAGTTAAGGTAAATAATTCCATTGGGACTGCACAATGCTCATCTCTATTCATATTCTGGCATGTAAAGATATATAAGACATGAGAATATATGCTATAATAGACCGGTAGTCCCTGATTAAGCTTGCTGAGTGTATCTACTAGCAGGTAGGTTGGCACAACGCAAGGTATGGTATGTTCATCACAGTTCAGCAGGGACACATGTTGCGAGGTAGGTATCTGGGCTGTAGGTTGTTGTCAGCGGTAATAACGTCCCTGAGGGTGCCTAACGTATAGGCTGGAGCCAAGCACCGTAAGCCATTTAATTCATCCCCCTCAGCCTATGCCCACCAGGTGTACAGACCTGTCCATCTTGGGGGTGACCTGCCCGGGGGCGCCGTTGGCCCGATGTCGGGGTTGAGTGTGGAGCTTCGTGTATACCTGGTCATGAGGCCTCCATGGTGCCCCTAGAGGTAAGTCCTTTTGCAGGTGTGAGGCATGGGAGTGTGGATGACCCCTCTTGAGCTGTGGTGCCGATCGCTCCCGGTTTCCAGCTGGGTCCAGTCTTCGACAGCGGTGTTGCTGGGGAGATTCCTGCTTTTGCTGTGAGGCTGACACTCGGAGAGGTGTTCTTGAGTGTCGTTGGGGACGGGCTCCGGTTAGCCGGGTGCTTCTCTGGGCTTGTGGGCGTTGGGCTGACTTCTGCGTGGAGCAAGCCTTGCGTCTGTATAACAATACTGCAGCTTTCTTTGCCGGTTGTTTGTCTTTCGCATGAGTAGGTAGCCGGTGTGCCCGGAGTTTCAGAATGCTTGCCAGAACTTTTCAAAGGAGGCCTCGATGGGCTCAATTTCCCGATCGCTCCTTGGATTTGTATGTGCTCGTGAGGGGTGCTTGTCATCCGCCATCTTTGGGGCCCATGCGGCTCCAGGGTTTTTGCTCCGACTTGTTGGCCCTGCTGAGGTGAGGTTGCACCCTGTAGGGACCTGGATATCCCCCGCCGGTCCAGGGGGGGGGGGACAGGGCTGTGCAGATTCCTGTGGCCGCTTGGAGCCCAGGGTCGGGAGATCGTCCGCCTCCCCCAACACCCAGGTCATCAGCCGTAATAGGCCGCAAGCTGTAGCGCTGTGTGCTGCCATCGGGTCATCCAGATTCAAGCTTAGGGAGTAGTCAAGGGTGTTTAGGGTGACCCTCTAGTTGCCTAGGGCGGTTATCTCCAGATTTGCCTTAGTTTTTCAAGCAGTTAAGTTCAGTGTAGCAGGAGCTTGTGACAAACGCG